TGAATAGTCAATATGGGTGTCATATGAAAGGTTTTGGAACAGAGATGAACATGGACACCATCTCGGTCCATCATGGTCATGTTAACACGACTTAAAACCATGAATAGTCAATATGGGTGTCATATGAAAGGTTTTGGAACAGAGATGAACATGGACACCATCTCGGTCCATCACGGTCATCTTAACACGACTTAAAACCAATTCACATATGAAAAAAATGCGTGTAAAATCAACTCCAGAAAAAGGAGCAACTTTCCCAGAAAATCGTCTTTGCTTTGAAAAACAAGTATGGAACATACAGTCATGGAAAAATAATTAAGACCTCCCTGTGATTTTTCGTTTAGCACCCTGTATTATCTGTTTGGACACATAACCTCACTTTATTCTACCTTAATTGTGCACAGTAATGACATATGCATATTATCACTGCATTTGAAGATGATTCGTTGCGATATAAACATCAAATTCAACTAAAATCTAAGAAAAGTGGCAAATGTGATTGGAAAAATAATTAAGACCTTTGTAGTTTTAAGCTAGTGTTAGCCTCTAATTTAAGAAAACGTTCGAAGTTGGTTGTCAATCGGTAAGAATATAGTAAAAACAAAATATTTTCGTACGTCTAAGCATTTGTTGTTTGACAGAATCATGGGAAAAGCCAAAAGTTGTACACCGGCCGAGAGAAAGGCTATTGTGGCATTGAAAGAGGAGGGGTTGTCATACTTAGCGATTTCCAAAAGGATAAATCGTTCAAAAACGATGGTCATAAACGCATTGAAGCATTTTCGTTCAAATGGAACCACTGACAACGTCCCACGCCGAACATACACACGAAAAACGTCAGAGCGAGTTGACCGTGAGGTAGTGAATTTATCGAAAAAGGACCCGTGGAAGAGCTCTGCTGCAATAAATTGCAATATTTTCGAACGGTTTGATGTACAGGTATCTTCTCGAACTATACGGAGTCGTTTGGTTGAAGCTGGACTCCATGGCCGAGTTTCACGGAAGAAACCGTTAATCTCAGAACCTTAAAGGAAACAGCGTATGCGGTTTGGACGTGAACACCGTAATTGGAGCATCGATCAGTGGAAGTATATACTATGGAGCGATGAATCCAAGATCGATCGAATCGGAAATGACGGAAAACGCAATGTACGGCGCCCAAAAAATGCCGCATTCGACCCAAAGTACACATCCAAGAATGTGAAGCACGGCGGCGGCTCAATCAACGTATGGGGATGCTTCTCTTGGAACGGTGTTGGCCCAATCCATTTGATAGAAGGTATTTTAACAAAAGAAAAATACGTTGAAATACTGGAAAATGTGATGCTACCATGGGCAGAGGAGAATTTGCCAGTCATTTGGCAGTTTCAACAAGACAATGATCCAAAACACACTGCAA